CAGGAGCGGATGAACCGCTACTGGAACGCGCCCGAGGCGTGCGAAGCGGAGTCCCAGATGGCTCGAGAGTTCGGCGTTCCCTGGGCACTCCGAGGCCCCCCTACCCCCCTCGAAGGGGGGGGGGGGGGGGGGGGGGGGGGCGACCGAGTGGAGGGGCGGCGCGTGGAGCGAGGGGCAATAATGTCGGAAGAAGAGGGGTGGTAAACACGCCGCGTGCTTCAGCGAAACATACAAGACGAAGGGCGGCTGGGGCTACGCCAAGGGCGAGATGCCGAGGACGCCCATCGAGGTGGCCAAGGGCAAGAAGGGCAAGGGCCAGAATGGCACTGGCGCCTCGCCCAGCACAGGCAAGGGCTAGGACGAGGGCGGGGCGCTGGCGCGGACGAGGCCTGAGCGGCGGGCGCTGTCTCCTGAGCCTGCAGCCTGAGCGGGCGGCAGCGCTCTCGCGCTTGAGGAAGAGCTGCGGCCTCCTCCTCCTCCTCCTCCTCATCCTCCTCCTCCTCCCCCTCCTCATCTTCCTCCTCCTCCCCCTCCTCCTCCTCCTCCTCCTCCTCCTCTCCCTCCTCCTCCTCCTCCATCTTCCTCCTCGCCCGCCTCCTCCTCCTCCCCCTCCTCATCATCATCGGCATTATCCCCCTCCTCCTCCTCCTCGTCCTCCTCGTCCTTCTCCTCCTCGTCCTCCTCGTTCTCCTCCTCGTCCTCCTCCTCATCCTCGTCCTCCTCCTCCTCCTCCTCCTCTTCCTCCTCCTCCCCCTCCTCTTCCTCGCTCGTGGTTTGTTTGTCGTGGTTTGTTTGTTTGTTTGTCGTGGTGTGTTTGTCGTGGTTTGTATGCCGTGGTTTGTCTGGTTGTCGTGGTTTGTTTGTTTGTCGCGGTTTGTTTGTCTGTCGCGGTGTCGTGGTCTATAATGCGCATGTGATGTTTGTTGCTGTCGAGCGATGCATTCGCTTCGGTGGCGCGGGCGGCAACGCCGAGCGATGCATTCGCTTCGGCGGCGCGGGCGGCGACGCCCTGGCGCTTCATCTCGCGTCCGCAACGTTTCGGCCCCATCGCTAGGCAGCTCGCGAGCCCCCCCCGCGCAGGGCCGCTTGCTCCGCGGGCGCCCCCCCGAGCATGGCCGAGGGAGCCAAAGTGTGGATGTGGGGGGGCCTCTGCCCGTTGGGCGACCAGTGTAGGAAGAAGGGGAGCTGCGTCATCCAGGGCGAGGGCCGCGACAAGATAGCCAAGAAAGTGGCGCGCCACCTCTGCGCGTCTGAGCGCCACTACATGGAATGGGAGAAGTCGCTTGAAGTTGCAGACCAAGACGAATTCATCCTGTTCGAGGAGGTGGAGGCTGACGTCGCCAAGCCAGAGATGCCTGGTGGCGACGGCAAGGGCAAGGCGATCAAGCTCCAGAAAGCGCGAGCGTGCGTGGACGGCAGTCGGCGGCGACGGCAGTCGCAAGAAGGGCAAAGGGAGCTCCGACGACATGGCCCAGTACCATTCCAAGGCGACCGTCACGAAGGAGATCACCGTGCGCCCAGGGGAGATGCAGAGCGCGCTGGACAGCCTCGAGCGCGCGATCACGGCCGCAGAGCACGCGGCCAACATCAGCCGTTCTGCCGCCAAGGCGTTCGATGACTCAGCGTCGTCTCTCCACGGCGCGAAGAAGATCATCGAGTCCATCTGCGCGGGCTCGCGCTGACCTGCCGCGGCCCGATCGCGATGGCATCGCGCTCATCGGCTTGCGCGGCGGCGGCCCTGGAAAGGGGGGGAACAAGGGGGGGCGGATTTCGACATCATGTGTCGAAATCCGTTCCCCTTTGGTTTCATTTTTTTTTGCTGCGCTTCTTAAGCGACGCCAATTCCGCAGGGGGGGGTCTGCTTGCATTGCCATCGGCGCGCGCGGGTTCAAAACCTGCGCGGGGGGAAGGCACTTCGCGCATATCATCCACCGCCCCCCCTAAGGATCCATTGGGGGGGGGGGGGGGGGGGGGGGGGGGGGGGGTGTTGGCCCATGTTAGCGCCCCCAGTCGCCCGGGCTCACGGGGGCCCGCCCCCCTCCGCAACGCGCCCGGCGAGTTGCGGAGGTCCGCCCTCCGTGCGACGGGCGGGGGGGGATGAGGAAGATAAAGGTGAAGAGGAGGTGGTCTGACGTGTCACGCCGTCGTTGGACCCCCCGTTGGACCACCAATGTTGGGCCACTGTTGGACCGCATGTGGTCCTACATGTTGGACCCCCCTTGGACCACCCACCGTTGGACCCCCGTTGGACCACCCACTGTTGGACCACTGTTGGACCACGGGTGGTCCAACATGTTGGACCACCGTTGGGCCACCGTTGGACCACCGCTCGGGGGGGGGGGGGACGATCGAGGCGGATGCGGAGTAGGATGAGCACGTGGAGGAGAATGATGGGGACGACAACGACAAGGACGATGATTGTGAATAGGAGGGGGATGGGATCGAAGGGCAGCGACACGCGACCGATGCATTCGCTGCACGCAAGCGATGCGCTCGCTGCAATCACCCAAGGGATGCACTCGCTGCACGCAAGCGATGCACTCGCTGCAGGGCCCCAAGCGACGCATTCGCTTCGGATGGCAGTCGGCCAGCGATCCAATCGCTCTTCGCATCGCCAACAGCCCCCGCGACCAGCGCTGCAGCCTTTTGAGTTTCGAGCGCGGGGTCGTTCCTCTGCGGGGCGTCGCGAGCAATGAGCGAACCTATGACAGTCGTGGCGCGCGGGGCGCAGAAGCAGATGAGCCTCTGCGACTTCCACTTCGGCGGGATGCGCGCGGAGCCCGTGTCCGCGCCTGCAGCGGCTGGGCGCAAAGGCAAGCGCACCGAGGAGAGGCAGTCGAATGCGCTCTGGAACTTCTGGCCCGCTTCGGACGACGGTGGATTCTCCAGCCCAGGCGTCGGTGCGCCTCAGACTCCGACGGGGCGCCGCGAGGGCGCGTCCGTGGCGTCGGGCTCGCCCGCCGGCGGCGCGATGGGGGGCGCCGAGGCGGCAGGGGGCCATGGCGACGACCCGGGCGGCGCGGTGGCCGAGGCGGCGGCGCCGACGTGCGCGTCGCCGCGCGTGGGCCGCGCCATGAAGTCTGCAGAGGGTGAGCGCGAGGGCAAGCGCAGGCGTCTGCCAAAGAGGCAGAGGAAGCGCCTGCAACGGAGGTCGGACCTGGTCTCCTCGGAGGATGGCGAGCCCCTGGAGCGCGCAGAAGAGCCTGAGGCCCAGGGCGCCGACTCGGCCGAGTTGGCGGAGCCACGCGCCGAGGAGGCCGACGGAGCCGCGGGGCCCGAGGGGGGCCTCGGAGAGGCGAAGGAGACGAAGATGAAGAAGAAGAGGAGGCCGAAGAAAGGAACAGCTAATAAGAAGAAGAAGAAGCAGCGCGCCGACGAGAATCAGAAGAAGCAGGCTGCCGAATACTCAGCCATAGCAGTCCTGGACGTCGTGCCGCGGATCGACGCCACCCCCATCTGCTGCAAGTGCAAGCGCCGCGTCGACCCCCTGAGGATGAAACTCGTTGGCAAGAAGAGCAACGTGTGGCAGTGCGGCGTCTGCAACACCAGATACACGCAGCTGTATCGCGCATTCGGGGGGTGGCACCCCAAGCAGTTCAAGGGCTTCACAGAGGACAAGAAGGCGAAGTTTTGGCAGGATCTCGGCGAGGCAACTGGACAGGTGCAGATCGAGAAGGTGGCCGTGGAGTCGTTCAAGAAGCGCTACCTGGAGAGCCGAGGGGCGGGCACCAGGGGCGAATACTTTCCCTTGAGTGTCTACAAGCGGAGGGGGTTCGACACCAAGGCGATCCGCGAGCATTGCAAAGACGTGGGGGAAGACCACATCTTCGGTGAAGTCTACCGAGTTGACGTACGGTACAAGGACAACAAGAGCATCGAACAGGAGATCCGAGAGAGCTCCACCAGGAAGACCGACCTCCACGACGGCAGTAGCCAGAAAGGGCAAGGGCAAAGGCAAGGGCAAAACAAAAGGCGCTGCACAGCCCATGCCAACCACAGCTGACAAGAAGATGCCCAACGACGCTGTGAAGGCGCTGGCCAAGGTGAGCCCCATCATCCACCGACTGAAGGCAGCGCAGGACAGCAAGCAGTCGCCGAAGTTGCACGAAGACCACACCAAAGCTCTGAGGATGCACATGCTGGCCTGCAGGCGTTTGAGACCGTTTCAAATGCCGCCATTTCCACGGCCGCGGTCCTCGCTTTGACCACGCAGGAGGTGTCAGAGAAGGCGGCGGCAGCTCTCAAGAAGGTCAACGACATCGAGACCGTGCTCAAGACGTTCGAGGACTGAACAGCAGCCCCTTCTACGGGGCGCGTGGGGGCGCATTGCAGCGCCGAGGCAGCTGGCATTCGGCTGCGAATGCGCGCAAGAAAAACAACGGACGAGGATGCGGGAGGAGGGGCAGAAAGATGATGAGGATGGGCAGGGTGACAACGAGGAGGAGGAGGAGCAGCAGCAGCAATGGGAGCAGGGCCAGGATGCGGAAAGGGGGGGCAAGGGGGGGGGAGGGCGAGGGGGGGGGGAGGAGGGAGGAGGGGGGGAGAAGTGGAGGAGTAGGGGGATGAGGGGCGATAGGATGGGGGCGAAAAACGATCCAATCGCTTTCGCGCGCGCTTCGCGACAGGAGCGATTCAATCGCTACCCTAAGCGATGCGCTCGCTACCTTGAGCGATGCGCTCGCTACCTTAAGCGATGCGCTCGCTACCTTAATTGCTACCTTAAGCGATGCACTCGCTACCTTCACTCACCAATCCTGCCCGTAGCGACTCAATCGCTCCATCCCGCCGCCGAACCTCTCAGCCATCTACCGTCACTGTAGTTCGCCTTTCGGCTCAAGGGCGCGCTCGCTGGCTCGATGGTGTCCAAGAGGAGCCGCCTGGCCAAGCTGGCCATAATCCCTGGAGCCACCTGCAATGGCCTTTCGGAACTTCTTCGCCGTTTGTCGAAAGAGCCACTCGACGGCGGTGCGACCGCCCACGAGTGTAGAAGTGCTTCGCGAATGGAGCACGACGCGCTGATGGAGCTCGAGGCGCGCCTGCCGCTGGCGATGGGAGGCGCGTTCAAGTGGCCGATCGCGAGGTTCGCCTGGGCGACCCAAGTAAGAACCGCGGGGCGATTGGGTCGGTCGGAGGGGTTCTAGTTTTCTGGGGGAGGAGCGGGAAGGGGGGGGGGCGTGCGAAATGAGCGGGGGAGCAAGCCCGTGCGCTCAGATTTGGTGTCCTCGGCAGGCCAGACCGCCTGGTGCAGCGGTGCGTGGAGGCATCGCCAGCGCTGCAGCGAATGTTCGCCCAGACCATCAGCGCGCCAGTTCGGCCGTGGAGACTGGTTCTGGCACGCGACGAAGTGACGCCAGGGGCCGTCCTACGCCCGTGCAACAGGCGGAAGTTCGCGGCGTTCTACTTCTCCCTTTTGGAACTGGGGGGCGCCGCCCTTCGACGCGACTGCCGCTGGCTTCCGGTTGCCATTCTCCGGAGTTTGAACTTGGGGCGCATCGCTGGGGGCCCGTCCTGCGCCCTTCGAATGCTGCTTCGCCATCTGCTCATCGAGCCAGGCAATCTCGTGCAGGGTGTCGCGCTCAGGCTCTCAGGGAACCCGACGCTGTTCTTTTCTAGATTCGCCATCTAGGAGACGAGGCAGCCCTGTCGCGAGGCCTCGGGGTCAAAGGGGCAGGTGGGATTCGCCCTTGCCTGAAGTGCGTCAACGTGTTGGGTAAATGTTGCGACTGCGCTGGTGGGCAGTTGGTGCGCATTGACTGCATAGATGCCACAAAATTCATCCCGAACGCTGATGACAACGTCTGGCGCGTGCACGACACGCTGGCAGGCGTGCAGGGAGTTGCGCACAAGGCAGCGAGAGATCGGAAGGAGAAGTCTCTCGGGGTGAACTTTGTGCAGGAGGGGGTACTGGCCGACCTGGACCTCAGACGCTGCGTCGGCCCTGTGTCGTCGTGCCGTTTCGATTGGATGCGCACGCACCTTTGCAATGGCATCGCCTCTCAAGAAGTGTTCGAGTTCATGTCAGCGTGCAAGTCCACCGACCAGCTGAGCGACATATACCCTATGTTGGAGTCATATTTAAAAGCTGGCTGGTCGTTTCCGCTGCAGCACAAAGACAAACGCGTGGATGCGCACGCGGTCTTTTGCAAGTGCAAGGAAAAGGCTTCCAATGCCCATTGGAGAAGCAGCGCGTCCGAGCTATTACGCGCGCATCCTTTGATTCGGCACTTTGCGCTCGTTGTGGTTCAGACGAAAGTGCCGAGCATGGGTGATGACATAGGCTCGTTGTGCAAGTGTTTCGCAGTGCTAGATCTCGCTCTTGCGGCCAAGGCTGGCACTATCTGCATCCGCGCTTTGAGGGGCGCTATCGACGGCCATTTCAAGGCGCACCAGAAGGCCTACGGAAAGGAAGGGTGGAAACCAAAGTTTCATTTAGCACTCCGTGCTCCTGACCAAATCGAAGACATCTCTGGCGTGCTCGATTGCTTCGTAGTGGAGAGTGCCCATCTGTTGCCGAAGCTGGCGTCAACTTCACTAGACAATCTGTAAGGCTTCGAGAAGGCAGCGATATCTCGGGTCATCCTCGCGCGCATTCAAGGCCTGAGCGATTTTGACGAACGCTCGGGCCTCAGAGGTGCAGACGCCGAGTTGTCCCCATTGCTCGGTGCGCTTCTTGGCTCACAGGTGGTCCCGGCATCAAAGGCGCGCCTGAATGAGTTATTGGTGTGCGCAGGCGACCTGGTCCAGGCTGGAGGCGCGTGCCTGCGCATCAGCGCGCTGGGGCGCAGCGATGGCGCCCTGTTCGTGCTGGGGAAGACGTGCACCGTCGTCGAGCGGAAAACGCCTTGGGCGACTGTCTGGCGCGAGGACGTGGATCTGGCCCTTCTGCGGTGGAGCGTTGGCGATAGAGTGCACTTATGCCGAGCCTGGCACGCGCTTGCAAGCGGAGACCTTCTTGTCCTGCATTGGAAAAATCTCGCTCTTGTTGCAGCGACGCACTCGCTTTTCTTCCGCCAGCGGTTCGCCCTTGCAGCGATGCGCTCGCTTGTCAGATACCGCGCAATATGCTTCGCTTCTCCGCGTTTCCCTCGGCCCCTGGAGGAGCGACAGGAGGGGGGCGGGGGGGGGGGGGGGGGGGGAGGGGGGGGAGGAGGGAGGGGGAGGAGGAGGAGGAGGAATAGGATCAGGAGGAGGAGGAGGAGGAGGAGGGGGAGGATGAGGAGGAGGAGGGGAGGAGGCATGCTAGGTGCGCTCGCGTCATATCTGACGCTCCACCCCCCCCTCCCATCCCTTACCATGGCGCTGATTTTCTCTATCCGCGGACGCGTGTCGTAGCGGACCTGTGGCTCCGCGCGCGCGTGCGTAGTGGGTGGTGGTGCACGTGCGTGCGCGCGTGCGTGTGTGCGTGGTTGTCGTGGTGGTGGTGGTGGTGGTGGCGGTGGTGGTGGTGGTGATGGTGGTGGTGGTGGTGCTGGTGGTGGTGGTGCTGGTGGGTGGTGGTGGCGTTGGTACTGGTGCCGGTGCTGGTGGTGGTTGGTGGTGGTGGTGGTGGCGGTGCGGCGCGGCGGTGGCGGGCGGATGGGCGCGCGAGAAAAAGGCCCGCGCAGGGGCGAGAACGCCATCCTGAACGACGGAGGCCAAACACCGATCCGAAAATGAGGCCCACGCTGCAGCGGGAGCGCGATTCGGAACGATTCGGGAGCAGAAATGAGGCCGGCGCCTCAGCGAGAGCAGCACTTTGGAAAAAAATGACGCCGGCGCCTCAGCGAGAGTCGCTTCCCGGGATTTCCCGGGCATTCCGTGTAAAAAAAAAATACGCGGATGGTGCGCGGCCATCGCCCGGACGCCATCAGGGGAAGAGGGAGAGTACTTTCATATTGAGTAATTGTAGAGGAAGCAAGGAGAGGAGGAGGACGAGGATGTGGAGGAGGAGGAGGAGGAGGCAGAGGGCGAGGAGGCGGAGGAGGAGGGAGGAGGGAGTTATAGGAGTTATGCAATTACATCGGAGGTTGGGGGGTGAGATCGAAGTGGAACGGAGAGCCCCCCGATCGGGAAATCGATTTCGGTTTCGTGTTCGCGCGTGCGGTGCGGGCGAGGCGAAGCTCCGCGGGCGGGCGAGGCAAAGTCTCCTGTGGCTGAGGCGCGGCCGGACACAATGATTCCCTTCCGGGCGACCGGGGCCCCGCGGCGCCCCGCCGGTGCCCCGCTGGTGTCCCGTGTGGCTGAGGCGCGGCCGGACCAAATGATTCCCTTCCGCGCGGCCAGGGCCCCGCGGTGCCCCGCCGGTGCCCCGCGGTGCCCCGCGGTGCCCCGCGGTGCCCCGCAGTGTCCCGCGGTGCCCCGCCGGTGCCCCGCGGTGTCCCGTGAGGATGATGATGATGAGACGATGATGATGATGATGATGGTGATAATGATGATGATGGTGACGGCGATGAGATGATGATGATGATGGTGTCCCGATGAAGATGATGATGTTGATGGTGGTGTCGATGATGATGATAGTGCCCCGATGATGGGGATGCTGATGCTCATGCTGATCATGTTGATGATGATGACGACGATGGTGTCCCGATGATGGTGATGATGATCCCGATGATGTTGGTGATGATGATGTTGATGGAACTGGTGTCCCGGCGATAATGATGTTGATGATGATGCTGATGATGGTTATGGTGTCCCGATGACGATGCTGATGATGATGATGGTGGTGATGCTGATGGTGTCGCGATGATGATAACAACGATAATGGCGATGTTGATGATGATGTTGCCCGTGATGATGATGGTGCCCCGATGATGATGTTGTTGATGATGATGCGATGATCATGATGATGATGGTGTTTCGAGGGTGATGACGCCGTTGATGATAATGTTGATGATGATAACGATGGTGATCATGATGGTGTCCAGATTATGATGATGATTCTGATGGTGCTGCTGATGATGATGAGGATGACTGTGGCCCGATGATGATGATTATGACTTTGATGATGAGATGATGATGGTGATGGTGATGACGATGCTGTCCCGATGATGGTGGTGACGTTGATGATGATGTTTATGATGATGATGATGATGATGATGATGATGATGACTGTGTCCTCATGATGATGACGATGTTGGTCATGATGTTGATGTTGACGATGTTGATGATGTTGATGATGATGATGTTGACTGTGAAAGCGACTGTGAAATCTATAGTGAGATCGATATTGAGACCGAATGTGAGATCGATTGTGTGATCGATTGTGAGATCAATTGTGGGATCGGTAGAATGAGACAGATCGAGTGAGATCGAACAAGTGAGATCGATCGAGCGAGACCGATAGTGAGATCGATACTGAGATCGATAGTGAGACCGATTGAGTGAGACGTTGGTCCCCCCCCCCCCGAATCTCCTTATCACCCGAAGGGTGGTCGTATAGGTCTAAAGTTACATATCAACTATAAATGTAAAACTCGCAATGGCAATAAGTATGTCTTAACCACTTGTAACTAGACATATAAGTGGCGACCTTTAGCGTGCAATGAACATTGCCACCTCAATTTTCACAACCCCGACGCGCGATCCCAGTAGGGCTAAAGGGCTATAGGGCGATAGCGATATAGAGCTATAAGGCTATGGGGCCACAGGGCACCGGGCGCCCGGGCGCCGGGCACCCGGCGCCCGCCCTGGAATACAAAGCCTCGTGGCAATTCTTATTGGGCCGTTCTGGTGTGGAATTGTCAACGGTTTTCAAGTGTCTGGTCGTGTATATTTCCATGCCTCGCGCATCATCCACCCGGGGGCCGGGCGCCCGGCGCCCGCCCGGGCGCCGGGCGCCCGTCGCCCGGGCACCCGGGCACCCGGGCATCCGGGCACCCGGGCCCCGCCGCCGAATCGGCGGCGAACCCCGGCACCCGGGCGCCCGGGCACCCGGGCGCACGGGCCCGGCCACCGAGTCGGCGGCGAACCCGGGCACCCGGGGCCTGGGCACCCGGGCGCCCGGGCGCCCGGGCACCCGGGCCCGGCCACCGAATCGGCAGCGCACTTCGCCTGCCCTTAAATCCGCCAGGACCCCCTACAGAGGCAAGTTCCGATTGGGGAATTATATTTCGCTCTCCGGTGTGACGCCCCGCGCCGTCTTTGAGCCTGCCGCGTGGCGCTGGGCCCCGCGGGGGCCAGTGCCTCTACGCGCGCTGGCTTTTCGATGGCGCGTGGGCGTCACGACGCCTCGGAGAGGGCACTGGGGCAGAACGCGATACCGCAGTCCACATTCCCAGTAGAAGGCAGCGCCGACGCTCGACTTGAGGCGGAACTTGAAGCAGTCATGGGCCCCCTCCCGCCTCCCGCGCCGGCGCCCTCTTACGCGCCAGGGTTCGGACATGCCGCGCAGTCGACCGCGTCGTCACCTGGCGCCGCCCTTGGTTCGCCAGGGCTCGGCAGATAACCTGCGCGCGGAAGTCAACGACCAAAATGTCGAACCTGCCGCGTGGTCCGCCGCTTTCCTTACCTCGGCCATCTCGGCAGCCAGGGGGGCGAAATCGCAAACCGAAGTCGGGGTGCCTACCTGCGCAGTCTGGGCCCGCGCAACGCGCAGTTGCGACTCGAGGCGCTGGAATGGCTCGGGCCGAGAGAGGCCCTCGCCCGTTTGGAACAAGTGCGCGAATCGCACCACCGACGAACCCAGGATTTGGAGCATCGGTTGGGCCGGCGCCCCCAGCGAACCCACGACACCAATGACGAGGTAATTGCGCGGCCCACGACAGAGCGCTGAAAATCTGCAGAACGACATCGCAACAACCGAAGCCACCATGAAGGCCCACGCGGGCGACGCCCAGATCCACGCCCCACCGCGAGCCCCAGAACCTGTCGCCGACAGTGCCCCAACCCTCGCCGATTGAAACATCCGCGTTGGACAATTGCGACGCACGTCACCAGGGGCTGCCTCCGCTGCAGCCTCAGCTCAGACGCATCGCGTTTATCCCGCGCGCGCCATCGCCGACACCGCCGACTCCATCGCATAATATGTCACAGTGCTCTCTTGGTGGTTTCACCCCGATCCAGGAGCCAGATGCTGCTCGCATTCTTCAACAGTCACGCGATGCGCGGGGAAAGCTTCGGCAGCGCGTCCGGGCGCCCCGCCAAGGCATGCGCCCTTCTCCGTGCCACCGAACAGCCCGGCACTACATTTGAGGGCCTACAGTGGCGGCTTCGAGAGCATCGATTGCAAGCTCGCCGCCGAGCTTTCGGCCGTTCGCAATGCTGAGCTTCGCTGCCGCGTGGAGAACTTCAAAGCTCAGGAACGCAAAGCCGGTCGCGTGCTGAAAAGTAGGCCGATCTATTGGATTACATTGCAATCCTACAAGGCCACGGACGTCGACGACGCCGCGCGCGATTTCGAACGCCCCATTTTACCCGCACGCGGGACGACGACCTTCAACTGCATGTCGTGCATTGAGACACTTTCCCTCTGGAGTGCCGTGATCCACCGGCCACGAAGGTGCTCGAGTCGTAGTTCCCAGCTCAGAGTCGCAGACGCCCATGGATGAAGCAAGACATGCGCGACTACAACACTATAAGGATGGGCGGCCCCAATCGCGCGCGCAAGTGGCTACGCGCACGCGTTTCGGCCAACCTCGAGATGCCCCGACTCGAACGTGACCGGCGCAACCTCAAGGGCGAGGCGACTCGCCGCGACTTGGCCGCGTGCGCAGCCTGCCAGGCAGGCCGTCGCAGAATCGGCGATCGCAGAATCGCAGAATTGCTGTTTCCGGCAACCGCTCCACGTCGCGACCTCGCGGTCGCGCGTCGCAGGCCAGCGCGGGCGCCCGCGGGGAACGGCCCTCCGCGGGGCGAGGCGCGCGACGGCCGCTCAAAGACGGAGTCGCCAAGAATGGTAATATTGTAGATGCGTCTTTCCTCGGGCCGCGCGCGGCGCGCCGGCCCGCGCGCGCGCGTGGTTGAGCGCGCGCCACTGCATGATGGTGCTATCTCGCGTCTGCATTAATCCCGCGACGGCTCACGTTCTGGCGCGCGGGGAACCCCCCCGACGGTCCTCGCGGGGGCCCGTGATTTCGCGACTCTCGGACTCCACTCCCAGACCGCCGCTGGGGTCGCCAAGTGCCCGAGCCCCCCCGCCGCCCCCGCGTGCCCCGAGCTGGTCTGCGCGGCGGGCCCGCCGCTCCCAGCCTGCCCCGCGGCCAACTGCGAGTGCAGCTGCCCGGCCGCGGAGCCCGGGCACTGGCTGCCGGTGGCCGGGGCGGCCACAGGCTGCGGCCGCGGGCCCGTCGGGCCCGGCGTCGGCGGCGCCTTCGGCCGGCCCGCGGCTGGGGCAGAGCGAGGGCTGGCTGCCGAGCGAGCGGAGACCTGATGGCGCTGGTCGCCGCGACGGCGGCTCGGCTGCGCGCGCGACGCGAGGGGGCCTCAGAGCATCGAGAATTTCCCACGGGATGATATCCCCTGGCGTCGTAGATTGTTTTTGCGCCACGTGGAAGGTGGAGCCCGGCTGTGCTTGACGCCTGACATGGAGATCTCCGTCGCGACTTGAATCAGATACGTCGTTATGTTGTCGATCGGAATGTTTATTTCCTTGGGTGGTCGCCGCGGATCCCGGGCCCGCTAAGGGCGGGTAGACTCCCCCAAGTAACCCACGCGACGTGGTTGGTCCTTTTCTTTCCCTCCTAGCCGAGACTGCCTCGTCTGGAGGCTGCAAGGGATAGAAGGGTGGGTCGAGTGGACGTCGCGTCTCTGTTCCCGATTCCCGCCTCTGTCTCCCGCGGGCCCGAGGCCCGAGTGGAAAAGGCGGGACTCTGGACGGTGTGTGTGCGCGTGCGTGCGTGCGTGCGTGCGCGCGTGCGTGCGTGTGTGTGTGTGTGTGTGTGTGTGTGTGCGTGAAGTCCGCTCAGATCACCTTTGCATACATTTATCTTGCCACCGTTTCGGCTCACGTATTGGATACTGGACGCTAGACAGTCCCATTCGACAGGATTCGCGTCGCTCGCCCACGGCGCGTGGGCGAAGGGTTATTGCCTTTCTGTCCAATCGTCCTCTACCAACGGACATTTCAGTAGGTTCGACTCTTCGTTCGCCTGCATCCACAGCGAGAACCACATTTTGAAAACGGGCCGCCCTCCATTTTTGCAATTTCAGAAATTGTTCAAAAAAAATGTGCGCGACGCCGCGGCAAGAAAAAACGCCAGCCCTGTGCCCATGAAGTTTTGTTGAAAATTTCCTGTTTCAGGATCATAGACGGCGGGGAAATCTCAAGCGAAACGCCCGGTCCGCCCTCCCGACGCACTTTGGGGTGCGACAGGGAGGAGCGGGGATGGAGGGGAAGGAAGGGCAGGAGGGAATGAAGGATGGAGGGGGGGCGGGAGAAGAGGCGGAGGACGAAAAGGGGGAGGACCGACGAAGGGATGATCAGGGGGTCGGGGATGATAATGTTGATGGTGGTGATGACGATGAGGATGATGACTACGCTGGTGATGATGATGATGATGATGATGATGATGATGATGATGATGATGATGGTGATGATGATGATGATGATGATGATGATGATGATGATGATGATGATGGCAAATGCGATGCGGATGATGCTGACGGTGGCGAAGATGACGACGACGGTAACGATGACAATCGTGTTGGTGGCCGTGATGGTGACGACGACGATGATGGTGTTGATGTTGATGTTGATACGTGCGGTATAATGATGATGATGCTGATTGTGATAGTGGTGGCGATTTCGATGCCGATGCAGACGATTGTGTTGATGCTGATGACTATGGGAATGAGTCTGCTGATGATATGCTGATGCTGATCACGACGGTGTTGATGGTGGTGGTGATGATAATGATCATGGGGATGGTGGTGATGATGCTGTTGATGTCGATGCTGAAGATGCTGATGACGATTAAGCAGATGAAAAAGAATATGATTATGATGATGCTACTAAGTTTGATGATAATGATGGTGGTGATGATGGCGACGATGATGATGATGATAACTGCTCTGATGATGAGAGGAGTGAGAGGATGACGGTGATGATGAGGATGATGATGATGATGATGATGACGATGATGATGACGATGACGACGACCATGGTGCTGACGATGATGGTGGTAGTGGTTGTGGTGGCGTTATTCATTCGTTCGACAGTGACGGTGGCGATGTTCATGACGGCGGCGGTGATAACGGTGACGCTTATGCTGATGATAGTGGCGATGATTGGAATGAGGATGACGAGATGAGGGGAATCAGGAGGTATGTGACGGATGGAGGAAAGGGAGGGAAAGGAGGGGACATGAGGGAGGCTTCCTCTTCCCTCCACATTCGCCGTCGGTTCCCGTGCTCTTGTTTCTACTCCTGGTGGGGAAGGGGGGGGGAAGAGGAGCAGGGTGACGAGACCAAACGGCATAAGGAAAAGGGCCAGGATGATAATGAGGACGGCCAGGCGGAGAGGGACGACTAGGAAGAATAGGTGGACGGGGGCGAGGGCGAGGAAGACACGGGCAAAACAGAGGGGGAGGGGGAAGGAGGGAGGAGGAGGAGCAGGAGCAGGAGGAGGAGGAGGAGGAGGAGGAGGGGGAGGTGAAGGAGGAGAGGAAGGCGGCCAACTTCTCACACGGGGTTTTCCAAACAATGGAGAGCGACGAGAGGAATGATGAACAGGGAGGAGTGAGAACGAGGAGGAGGAGGAGGAGGAGGAGGAGGAGGAGGAGGAGGAGGAGGAGGAGGAGGAGGAGGAGGAGAGAGGAGGAGCAGGATGGTGTTGAGAGAGGAGAAAGTGTGAAATTACATGGGTAAGTGGGGAGGAAGAGCCGACTCGGCGCCAAGGCGAACGTTCCATTTTGGACCTCAACCGCCCTCCACCCGCGCACTTTTTAGATTGTGAGACGATTGTGTGGGCGGCGCCACGGGGGGAACCACCTTTCGGAAAGCCATCCGGCACATCTGCGTAACTGCTGGGGGTTTCAAGTGTCGCGGCCATAATGTGAGAAGATCTCAGGCGAAACGCCTGGCCTGCCCTTGCGACACGTCCGTCGGTACATCAGAGGAGGAATTATACATAAGGGAGATGGGTGGAGGAAGACCCCGTCCAATGCTTCCACCTTTCCGTGCCCAAGGTGATTGTCGCGCCGCGCTCATCCCCCTTCACATGCCCGACGCGGCCCCGAATGGGAAGATGGCGGCCGCGAGTGCGCCCAAGGCGGGGTGTCTTGGCCGCTGCTGTCGCTGTCCTCGTCGTGGTCGTTGTCGCCGTCGTCTTCGTCGTCGTAGTCGTCGTCGTAGAAGTAGCTTGGTAAGAATAGAAGGAGGAGGAGGAGGAGGAGGAGGAGGAGGAAAAGGAAAAGGAAAAGGAGGAGGAGGAGGAGGAGGAAGAGGAATAATAATAATAATAATCATAATCATAATCGTAATCATAATCATAATCATAATCATAATCATAATCATAATCATAATAATAATACTACTAATAATAATAATAATAATACTCATAATAATAATAAATAATGATAATGATAATAATAAAAAATAATGATACTGATAATAATAAAAAGAAGAAGAAAAGACGCATCTGAAGAAGAAGCAGAAGAAGAGGAATAAGAGGAGGAGGAGGAGGAGGAGGAGGAAGAGGAAGAGGAGGATGAGGGGGGGGGAGGACGACGACGACGAGGAAGACGAGCAGGAGCAGGAACAGGAGGAAGAGGAGGAGGAGGAGGAGGAGGAGGAAGAGCGGGAGCACGAGGTGGTGGAAGAGGAGGATCAGGAATATATTCATGTGATGGAACGTGGCCATGCAACTGGGTGGGCAATGCATTTTAGGACTTACAGTGGTGCATGCTATTTGTTGGCCGCAGCTGTTTGGAACAAGTGCGATTTTTTGCAACAGCAGGTTCCTACCAGAGTTTCAGGGTAGCAGAGCCCGTGGTTCGCCCGCCCGGCGCTTCCGTTGCAGAGATCGCAGCGGCAGCCGCCGCAGCGACCCAGTGGACCCTGGCAGCCACGACCCGGGTTACGATGTAGAGCTGCTTGATGTCCATGAGGCCTGGTACAACCAAACCTGAGCACGAACGGGTTTGCTGAATAGTGCAAGGCTTGTCATGAGAACGTCGATTCCAGCAGTGTTGTCACCGCCTTCAAGGCCAATCGTAAAGGGATGAGACTTTTGTTCGAGCGCAGCGCCACACTGGCCACCAGGACGGTTGACGACGATAAGGCGTTCACGAGGTTACAGATGAGCTACATAACAAATGTCCGTTTGATCGCTGCCATCAACCACAACATGTATTGCGAGGAACAGTTTGTCAACTTGACAGAACACGTTGTGGCACAACCCCAACGTCAAGCGAACTCACCGGACCACGTTACCAACATCGTCGAAGTTAAACAGTCAGCTGGGCGCACGAGGGCCGGAAGAGGTGGGAGCAAACCAGTCTGCGAGCACAAGACCATTCGCAATTTAATTAGGTTTTCGGGTCGCGCCACCAAGTTCAGGGAGTTCAACGGGTAGTTGATGAACGCGCTGTCCAACGAAAGCACGGTCACCGGACAATTCAGAAACATTTGAGCGACAAATTTGCAATCATGGATGGGGCGTTGCCCGCGGACGAAGAGAGCGGCTTGGAAATATTGTGAGCGGGAGGTTACTACTCAGGGACAACACCAAAGCGTCAACAACCAACATATAAGAACACGACGGTAAAGGAGAAAACGGGCTCGATGAAGCCGGCGCCGCGAGCTTGGACGATAATCTCTGACACTAGTTCAATGGCATTGTTTAAAGGGACAGCCGCGTTGCAATCTCACGGGCTTGCCCGAGGGATATGGCGCAATGGCGCGCCGGAGAGTTCGCGCATGGTACTCGACCGCGCAAAAAAAGAAACTTAACTTTGCGATGCCACGAGAAACAAACCCAGAAAGGTCAACTACGTGGCGACAAAGCTGGACCAGCGACGCGCGCCCGCAGAGCCATGTGAGGAGCGCGGGGGCGCGCGCTCAATGTCGTTGCCGCGCAGGGCTACTGCCATCAGGGTCACCGTGGCCCACGCTGGCGATTTGCTGAGCGATTACTTGCAAAGGGCCAGGTTCAATGTGCCAGAATCGGTAATCACTGATGCCCGCCAGATGCGCTCTATCAAGTGCGAGGATTGGTCTGGGGGGAACATGCTGGGCGCCGACTCGAAAGCCAGAGGCCCATGGACGTCGGCCAAGTTAACGATGGAGACGCCGTGGAGCGGGGCGCGAATTCGAGCGCGCCCAGTCCGGCTATTGCGACGAAGGTGGGAAGTGGTGGCCGCCAGGAAGTCGGGGCCCTCTTGGGCCGGGCGGCGGCGGCGGTTGGAATCCATCCAGCGCGCGTCACACGCCGCCCCCTGAGGGCTGGGGGGGCCGCGGCCATGCGCCGTGCGATGCCCGACCTGGAGCGGTTGAAACGCTTCGGGCGCCAGAAGTCCAACGCCCCCCGCGCCCGCCTCTGGGGGGCGCGCGAGCCCCGGGGGGGGTCGCCGGAAGCGGCGCCGGCCAGAACTACCAGCTCGCGCTGGGAAGCGCAAGCCGGATGAAGCCCAGTGGCGGGGGGGTGGGAAGCGCGGCGGGGAGTTCGCTTCTCGCCCGACCCGCCGGAAGAACGCCTCCCCCATCCTGGCCCACGAGGAGCGGGGCCCTTCGCCGAAGAAATTTCAGGTGGGTCAGAGGCGGCGCGCCGCTCTGGCGGGAGGCCGCGAAGGCCGCGGGAGCTCGCGGCGACGCCGCGTCCTGTTTCTGGGGAGATAGTTCCCCGCGCCAATTTCGTTTCCTCGAGCCGCAGCCAGGCGCGGGCGCGCCGTTGCGCGCGGCTGCAACGTCGATCGAGGTTTGCGCGCGGCCTGCACCCGCGGGCGGGGGGCCAGGGGCGGCGCGGGGCCTCGCGGGGCGCTGGGCCCGCGTCGGCCGGGGGCGTGCTTCTCCAGCACTGCGTGCTTACTTGCGTTCCCGCCTCTCTGCTCTTTCCGTCTGCCCCTGGAGGGCGCGGCGGTCGAGCCCGCGTCGCCCTCCGGGCGCGGCGGGGGAGCGGGGCCGGGCCCCCGCGGCGTCTAGCGCAGCGGGCGTCGCGCGGCGCCGACCGAGCGGGGCGCGGGCCCCTTCGCGCGCGGGCCGCGACGCCCGCGGCTTGGACAGGGCAGCTGCCCTTCTCCGCCACCCGGGCGCGGAGCGCGGCGCGCTCGGGCGGCTCGCCGCGCGGCTCGATGGCGCCCGGGCCTTTGCGAGGCCGCGTCGCGACGGCGCTTCAGGCGCAGTGGGCGCGATGGCGGCGGCGGCGGATTCGCCTCCAACATCGAGGGCGATGGGCAGTTTGTGACGGGGGCTTGCAGGTCTGGCGCGCGCGCGCCCAGCGCGCCTGCGTTGGCGACTCCGAAGACGCAGAGGCTCCGGGCCCAGCTCGTCGCTATCAAGGGCCTCCTCTTCAACGTTTGCGCCGGCGCGCTAGGCCTCGGGCGCGCGCCGCTGATCGGGGGGGCGCCGACGTCAGTGGGCGAGGCGCCGAAGGGCGCAGCAATGAGGGGCTTCGCAAGATCGCGACGATAACTCCGATGACGCAGGCGCTGCCCCTGCAGGGGGGGCGGCGGCCCCGCCGGCTGCCGGGGCCAGGGGCGCGGCGAGGCAAGTTCTGCGGACGACGACAAGGTCGCGCAACAAAAAGCGCAGAGAGAGATGGGCAGCGTTGCCCTGTGAGGCCGCCCGATGGCCCCAACGGGCGCTGCGGCCCCATCAAACGAGAGCGCGGGGCGCTCGTTTGCGCGCCGTTGCCCATGGGCATGGGGGCCAAGCAAGGCCGGCGGTACCTCGAAATAACTTTCGACATCGACGAGGACGAGGCATTGTTCGCGGGTGCGTCGAGCGCGCTCATGCACGCGCGCGGGCCCAGCCACGCGCGCTTCCATTGCGCCCGTTGCCCGCGCGTCAAAGAAACCGATTCGCGTTGCCAGGTGCAGGTGAAGACACAGCTGCGCGTTGAATGCGCGGCGAGCGCCGCTGCCGGCCCCGCCGAGCATGCCATTGCGCCCTGCGTGAAAACTTGGCCCGCGCAGCGCGCCGAGGGGGGCTCGTCGGGGGAAGCAGCGGCTAGGGGGGCGCGCGCGGATGGCAGCGCCGTCTTCGCGCCTGTGCCCTTGCCCAGGGATGCCTCCCAGGGGCGCTCTCCACTTGTCCCAGGCCTCGCCCGCCCGCCCTGCCCCGCCCCGCCGCCTTCCCGCCCCCGCCCGGGCAGCCCGAGCTCGCGCTCTGAGCAATTGGGGGGGGGGGGGGGGGGCAGGGGGGGGGCGGCGCGGGGGGGGCGGGGGGGGGGGGCGGGGGCCCAGCAGGGCTCGCGGCGCCCGGGTGGACGCATAAGTTCGTGGATGAGCTTCGGCGCGCAGAATTCCAGTGCGTCCGTGTTTCGCTTGCCAAGGAGATGCATTCTCTCTGCCATCGACTCGACAGACGCAGGCACAGGCGCGGCCAAGTGCGATGCGCGTCGAGAGTTCGCAGCGCGCCCCGGCAAGCCCGCCGCTGCGTTCGCTGTGAAGCTCTGTCGCACACGGCGCGCTTTAGAGGTTTCGTCGCTAAGATTTCTGCGGCGAGGCGATCAGACCAGCGGGGGCGGCGGCAGCTTGGGTGGCATTCGCGGCAGCTCTGTCGCAACGGGTGGCCCCCCTGTCCAGGCGAGCCCCCCCCCCCCCCCCCTCCTCCTTCTCCCCCCCCCCTCCCCGCTCTATTGCGTTGCCATGCCCCCCCCCCCCCCCTCCCCCCTTCTATCCGCCCCTCTCCGCTCCGCCCCCCCCCCCTCTCCAGCAGCTGCAGCTTGCGCGCGGAGCTTATTTGGGGGGCCAGCGACGGGGGCGACGAGGTGGGCGCGGCGGGGAAGAATGGAGGCCCACTGCGGCCAGCGGCGCTCAGGCGGAGACGTGGCCCTGCAGCGAGGGCGACCGCGCTGAGTTTGCGCCCCCCCCCCGGCCCCCCTCGCCCCCCCTCGCGCCCTGCCTGGGCCCCAGGGGGGGGGGGCGCGGGGGCCGGGTGATTTTCGAGCATGAGTTTGCGCCTGCGGTGCAGCGTGAGGGCGTAGCGCGGCGCGCTGGAGGAGGAGTTGGGGGGCCTTCCCCGTAGCCCATCCCAGCGGCCGCGCCTCCGATGTAAAGTGGCGCAGCGAGAAGAGCCCGCAGCGGGCGACGCGCCCGCGTCACCCGCCAGGCTTTGTCGCCCATTCAGTTCCCCCTTTCTGTTTAGGTTGTTGGACAGGGTGAATCCCAGTAGCCCGCGCGCGGGGATGTCCAGAGGATTGTCGCGCAGGTGGTTGCGCGCACGCATGGGCCCCCGCCTCTCTTGCTTGCTTTCGCCCGCGGGAGCTGGGGGGGGGGGGGGGGGGGGGCGCGTCTTCCTTCGCTCTCCCTTGCTCTCTCTTCCCCTTCCTCTCTCCTTTCCGTGATCCTTGAGCGCGCGCGGCTTTCTAGCTCTTCTTCGGTGTTTTTTTGAGCGTCGGCCTGTTCGGATTTCGGAATTTGCAGTGGTTGTTGTTGCTCCCAAGCCGCGCCAATGACGTAACAATGCGCCCTCCCAAGGCCCGTCGTCGTTGGCCCCTGCAGATGTGCGTTTTTTGTTATGCAAGATGTCACCATGAACAACAACAAGCATCCGAATACTTCCAAACGAACATATGGTTGTGCTTTCCCAGAATTCAAAACACATTGGAATGCCTCGACATGGTTAGACAGCATATTGGACGACGCCTGCTTCACATGGTTAATTCAAAAGGGTTCGGGATGGGCTGGCAAATTTCAGATTTGTTTGAGAATCTTAGATCGCGCCAGAACGCCCCTTCCGAGATTTCATCGCCGCGGATCAGCGTGTTTCCTACGCCGTGGCTATCTTAAAGCGCGCCAGAACACCATTCGTGGCACTTCAACCATACGAATCCTTGAATGTTGCTGCAACACTTTAGGACGACGGTGCGCGGCGCCTTCGAGAGATCTACATGTTCAAAGCGATCCGTGTTCCATCGTTGAACCGTTGCACCTTGCAATCGTGGGATCGCACATGATGGGGATGTCTCAGGCGAAACGTTCGTCATACGGACACGTTTGGAGGTGCGACAGGACAAATGATGGAGGAGGACGACCGCCATTTCCAAATTGTTGTTATCATTGCTGCTCGACGTGTTTGGTTCGCTCGGTCGTTCGGCCAGCGTGCCGCTGAGGAGGCAGAGGGGGACCAATGAACACCCAAAAGCCATCAACGATGTTGGAATCGAGCCTTCCTCCAAGTTCCTCCTTCCAAGGCCCCATACAGCGTTCCAGTCCCATACCGTTCGAAAAACCGGAAGCATATTAAAGCATTAGTGCCGTGATTCAACGCCACGGATCAACCTGAATGATGCGTATTGGCGGTCTTGAAATGTGCTAGAAGTTCATTAATGGAATATTGCGAACCTACGCAAGCGTTGCGCCTCATAACCGTGAACCCTTCCAGAACGCCATGTGTGGTACGCTGATCATGGTCGTTTGTGACACTCTTGCGAATGTTGCAAAGAATGGGCGCGGCGCTAACCGAGAACCGCATTTTGAAAAGGAGCCGCCCTCAATCTGTGAAATTTCTGAATTTGTGTCGAACGAATGTGCGCGGCGCTGAGGCGAGAACCAAATTTTGAAAACCACCCGCCTTCAGTCCACGATGCTGTTTTATGTTTAAAACGAATATGCGCGGCGCCAGGGCGAGATCCACATTTTGAAAAAAACAACGGCCCGCCCTCAATCCGTGAAACGCTTACACATGTTACAACGAATGCGCGTGGCGCTCAGGCGAAAACCACATTTTGAAAACGACCCGCCCTCCATGTGTGAAGCGGCTGTCACGATTTAAGCATCAGGATCATAAGTGGTGAGGAGGTATCGGGCGAAACGCCTGGACCGCCTTAAAAACGGACCTCGGGGTGCGACAGGGAAAAATAGTTATTAGGAAAAAAGCAATGGAGGAGGAAGACGACGGGGACGAAGACGAGGAAGACGAGGGAAACGATGAGGAGGAGGAAGAGGAAGAGGAGGAGGAGGAGGGACAGGCGGACGAGGAGGATATGGAGGAGGTCATCGAGTAGGCGCAGCACTTCCACAACCGATTTATGAGAGGAGTCGACGGATTATGCTGTGGAAGAAGAGGAGGAACACAAGGAGGAAGACAAACAGGAGGAGGAGGAGGAGGAACAGGAGCATCGGATGACAAAACACCCTGTCGTTCGCAGGTGGCGCGCTTGGTGTGGATGTCCAAGGACCACAAGGCCAGCTCCCCCGATGAGTACAAGCGCATCACCGAGGCGGTGGGCTGCCCGTCGTCGTCGTCGCCGTCGTCGGTGTGACTACGCACGTGCGGAGGCGTATTACTTGCTGAACGATGGAAGAGATCGAAGACGCCTACAGCGAATCACCACCGCCCCCTGCCTTTTCTGGAGATACCTATGTGGCCGAAGGTTGGGCTAGAGTGCGCGGACCATGTATTCCCCAAGCTGTCGTTGAGACCCTGTTCGGGGAACGGGTGAGGAGGAGGATGATAAGCAAAAGAAGCGAGGAACAAGAGCAGGAGGAACATAGCAAGGAGGATGACGCCTCTTGGAAGCCTTTTGGGGCATTCGTGGGTCTCCTGAACCGATGGCAATGCACATGGCGGTGGCACTACAAGTTGGGCCCAGGGAGGGAGCGCAGAACATTCGCAGAACTGACCATCATGATCGGTAGGATGTAATCCGCTGACTGAGTGAAATCGATGCCCACGCCTTGCGTGCAGAAGTGCCGTCAAATCAATATTGTCAGCACCCTTCACCATTGGAGCCAAGCGTAGCAATACAAGAAACAACTTGGCATGTTGGTGTACCCAAGTTTGAGTACATCGAGAACATCGTCGAAGTTCCCATGGTTGAATTTGTGTAGAAGGTTGTGGAGCAGTTCGGACGCATACCAAACGCTCTCGACACTGTCAGCAGTGACGAACTGAACTGAGATAGCGCACCTTTATGTGAGGCGCGCTGGGCTTGTAGCGAAGATGAAACGACCATGGAAGCGGAGGCTACAATCGACGGTCTTATAGCGAGTATTCAAACCCACATTGGCTTGTTCATCGAGGCTAATGGCGTAAACAGTTACAGTGATTTAGTGTTGGAAACAGTTGGCGACCAATGTATCACTTGCCACCCGTCCTTTCCAAATCCAAGTTACGCGAAAGCATCCAGGGATGACGTGGAGCAGCGCTATGGCTTCATGCCCCGTGATTGTCTTCGGCGGAGAGTATGCAACACATTGCACAATGGGACCTCGTACTTGTTGAGCAAGACCGACGAGTTGTTGGAATCGATGTGCACATTGTACAGACTGTGGCTGAGGTTATGAGTAGTATATTGCAAATGCTTGTGAGGCAAACGTGTGTGTTCTTGTTCCCTACCTAGGCTCTGCCTAGAAGGGTTCTTACTCGGTTAGCTTAAAGGGGCCGGGCAGTGTAAACCGCCCCGGGCGGTTCCCCCGGCCCCTGGGAGCCAAGCAAAAGCAACAGCAAAGGTAAAAGCAAACGCGCGGTTCCCCCAGTTGTGCTCCTTGGGTGCCAAGCAAAAGCAAAAGCAAAGGCAAACGTGAAGACAAAAGCGAAGGCAAAGCAAAAGCATAGCATAGCATAGGATAGAGCAGCATAGCATAGCGCAGCATAGCATAGCCTAGCCTAGCCTAGCCCAGCATAGCATTGCGCAGCATAGCATAGCATAGCATAGCATAGCATAGCGCAGCAAAGCATCCACTATTGCTGCTGCTTCACTTACGGCGTGGTGACGGCGGTTCTGTCGCTACTACTACTACTACTACTACTACTACTATTACTACTACTACTACTACTACTACTACTACTACTACTACTACTACTACTACTACTACTACTACTACTACTACTACTACTACTACTACTACTACTACTACTACTACTACTACTACTACTACTACTACTACTACTACTACTACTACTACTACTACTACTACTACTACTACTACTACTACTACTACTACTACTACTACTACTACTACTACTACTACTACTACTACTACTACTACTACTACTACTACTACTACTACTACTACTACTACTACTACTACTACTACTACTACTACTACTACTACTACTACTACTACTACTACTACTACTACTACTACTACTACTACTACTACTACTAACTACTACTACTACGACTACTACTGACTACTACGACTACTACTACTACTACTACTACTACTACTACTACTACTACGATACGACTACTACTACTACTACTACGACGACTACTATTATTATTACTATTATTATACTCTACTACTCCGACTCCTACTCCTACTACTCTACTCCTACTACTACTACTACTACTACTACTACTACTACTACTACTACTACTACTACTACTACTACTACTACTACTACTACTACTACTACTACTACTACTACTACTACTACTACTACTACTACTACTACTACTACTACTACTACTACTACTACTACTACTACTACTACTACTACTACTACGACTACTACTATTATTACTACTACTACTACCACTACCACTACCACTACTGCTACGACTACTACTACTACTACTACTACTACTACTACGACTACTACTACTACTACCGCTACTGTTACAACTACGACAATGAGGAGAAGGAGCAGGACGGCGTTTACCGCTCCTACTGATGTAGCTTTCCTAGAGGCTCTAACTCCTAGGTCGGGTCGCGCTGGGATAATTGTAAAACGTTCCATTACCAAACTGATTGGAAGGGTTGTTTCATTGGGTACCATGATTCACATGATGGATACTGCTGCAAACGCGTCCTGCGATATTTGAGTCTCGGCGCTCCGGCGCCCCCGCCGAGCTCTTAGAGGGCCGTCCCCCCCGTTCCGGGGGCGTACATCGCTGCCTTGCCCTGCCTTGCCTTGTCTTGTCTTGGGATCTCCTAGGAGTCTTTTGGGGGCCTTTTGTTGGAGGCCTCTTGGGAGCGTCTTTGCGTTTTTGTAAGTTTTCAGGCGATTCTGAGCTCTCCGCCGCCTCGCCCTGATGGTGCCCGTTCTTGGTGGCCCCCTGACGCCGATTTGGCGACGGCCTCGCGCCCGTTCTGGCCGCCCGAAGGAGAGGGCGGCGAAGGCCCAGGAGAAAGACCCCCCCGTCCGGGGGCCTTCATACACGGCTCCAGCCAAGGGTCCCGCCCCCCCGACCGCGGAAGGAGAGAGAAGACAGTTCGCAGAGGCACCCCACCAGCCAGGGCAGGAAATCGCCCCTGGAACCCAAGGCGCGGCAGGACACTTGACACATGGTTTATTAACAGGAGGCTGTATAGCGAACGATATCTCCGACGCTGTCTTGACTCAAGGCAGCGCTGTCCTATATGCCAGGTGCACCCGACTGTGTGCGCCTCGATTATGATCTTAGTAAAGGACAACAGCCACGTCCTTTCATGATCCAGTTTCCATTCCCATGGCTCCTCCCTTATCTATCCTCTCGCTCGCCATCAAGGAACGCGTTGTTGGATGCCTCGATACGCCGCCGACGTTATCCGACGAGTGGGGTTCTCAGGTTTGTACCTCATGGTCAAGCCCTGTACCATTACATTTCACTTGGTAGCGGAGCTGGCTACATCTTCGTTTGGCTGGCTCTTACATCAGGTGTTACGTACAGAACAACTTACCACGGCACAGTGGAGTGCTCTACTGCGCCGGCTCAGCCACTCGGCTCCCGATGCTCTCGAACCAACTGGAAACCTATAGTCCTATGCCTTCATCCCCCCATTGCGTGGCCGCGCGCCACGCGCAACCCAAACGCCGATACCTATCCACAAGCTGACGGCCACGTCAGACCAGACACCTTGTCGCAAACCCGCGGGCGCGCTAATATCCAACGACCAGCAACTCCACGTCGTCGGCTATAACACGACTATGCACTATGTTACGGTCGCCGCGTGCCTGGGTTTTGCCGCGGCATGCGTGCGAGGGGGGATGCTGGATGGAACGCGCGCCCGGGCCCCTTCTGGGCCCCCGCAGGCAACGTCTTCCTTCGCGAAATTGTTCGTGAAAGCGTCGCAAGCGGAAGCATGCTTCCGCCTCGACAGGCCGCGGCCTTATAGCGCGGTCTAGGAGGATTGATTAGGGCACTGGCCATGAGGGCGTTATCCACCATAATCAGCAATGGCGTTGCACTACAGGGGAAACGCACCGACGGAGTCACATAGTTCCATCATGTACCTTTAAGCACCAAATTCGATAACCATGAGGGCGAGCGACAGCTCACCTCGGGGACAGCCCTCAGCAGTTTCAGGGCCGAGAGAGGCGAACGCATCGACTCAGTGCTGGCCCGGTCCGAGATGGCCAGGCTGGAAGCGTGCTCAGCAGGCGCTGACGTTCCCAATTTCCAGATCCTTATTTCCATCCTAATTCGCGCCTTGGGCGTGGGTGCCTCCCAGGCAGCGCAGCTGCTGCCTCCGCTGAACCATCGCGCGCCCCGTGCGCAACGACAGTGCGACCAGCTTCTGGAGCGAACGCTCAGCCGCTGACACTTGGCTGAGCGTTCCCCAGGGAACATCGGGGGCATCCTCAGCGGACGCAGCACTGGCACTTGCCGCGGCAAAAGAAGCGACGCGCCGGCCGCCGCGCCGGATTGCCTCTGGAACGACGGGGGACCCGCTGAGCCAATTGCACTTCTAGGCCAAGACGCCGACAAAAACCGCGAACAGGCGTCTGGCTGGACCGCGGGCCGGCCGTCAGCGGCGAGCCGCGCGCCACCTGGAGCGACTGCGCTCTGGGGCTCACCTGGTCACCAAGACGACGATTTTTCGATTCAGGCACGGATGCGGATGCGGTCTTCTCCGCCGGCGCCGAAGACCTGGAGCGGTCAGGCATGCCCGCCGGCGATGGCGAAGCCACTCAATAACTGCGCTTGGGGGATCATCGCGCCCAACGAAGGTTGAGGCGACGCATGAGGAGTCCAGTCAGGAGGCCCAGGCGAGCGGCGCGTCGCGTCTTCTTTCGCAGAGGAAAGGGTCGCGGCGAAGGTGGTAGACGCGCCGGCAGATTACCCGGCAAAGCCATCGCCGCGTCCCTGGCTCGATTGGCCGACTGCGACCTTGAAGACTTGTTGCTGGGAGGTACAGGCAGAGGCAAAGGTCGCAGGCACGCAACAGGCAGGGGAAAGGGGCGCAGACTCAATCCAATGGGAAAGGGCGAAATATGAAGGACATGCAACAGCTGTGGGAGCGACGAACACTGCCGAGCGCAATGCCCCAGGGGAGGCGGCGAATGGGG